ATGTAGAGTATATATTCATCAGTTCAAAAAATATTCATGAGCCTTATATACTGTAATTTGCAGCTTCTGAACCAAAAAATGTGAAAAATACCAAAATGCATTTTTTGCACTAAAAATATCTTGCACTTCCTGAGCATCAGTAGCACCAAATCCCATCTCAATTGGACAACTGCTTCTTGTGGTATTTTGAATTAAAGTTGTTGCATTTTTTTTCTATAAAGGTTTGTTACACAAACAACATCATAAAACAGTACTAAAAATGGAACCCCTAAAGCCTAAAATTTACAAAATCCTGACAACAATGTATTGTTTAAAGTAATAACAATACTTTATAGCTATAATATTGAGTTAGATTTCTTTACATAGAAATAATTGCTATTTCATTCTGATATTTTCCATGTACTTATAATATTTTTAAATATTTTTCTCATAAAGTAGTAGCATGTCAAAGTTGGAGGAAAACTAAAACTTGATTTACTTGGAATTATGTTTTCTGGTTGCCACACTTCAAATGTGTTTTTCTCGTCTTGGCAAAAAAAGCCCAAGTGTAGGTTTTAAAAAAAACGCGTTCAATTATTATGATAGTAGACGAGTTTTCGGTTGGCCTGCTGTATCATACTAGAGTACGTGGATACGACCGCGCCCTTATAAACCCTAGAGGCTGTTTCCCATACCCTAGTGTACTGTACCGCACCGCCCCCATGAGACTTTCTTTCCGGTTCCGGGTCCTTTCCCAAAAGCACCGTCCCTCCATTTCTCTTAACTTTTCGGCTCGATCTTATTGATACAAGCCCTTCGGTCATCTTACCCTCATGCCGCTCCCCTCCCCTCCTCCGGTCTGTGCGCAAGTAAAGCTCCCGGATAGCTCATGGGACGTCCTCGTAGCCTCTATACTTAATCCCTAGATCCGTTCCCATCCGGAGAGGGCACAAAGACGAGAGGACTCAACTAATACCAGATGATATGATATGCCTATTAGGTAGTCACTTTTGCATAGCTTGATCAACCAGCGAATACCGGGAAACGATAGTTATCGATAAGTAAATCCGCGACTCTATCCATAACTTGAGATCTATACAATCTAGCACTAGCCCCCCAGTGGACGTTTCCCGAGCTGCCAGACCCCCTCGGGTCATGGTATGTGGACAAGTTGCCCATGGGAACTATGAAAGTTACTTGTGGTCAGCGAGTGATATCTGATGTCTTGAAATACAACTTATTAAAAGCTTTCTCTTTTCAAAACTATGATCGTGACCATCCATTCCACTTGCGACATACTCAGTTGGTAATAGTAACCACTTCCCGGCCATCATAAACCCAGCAAATTTCATTGTCGATAGAGGTGTTAGAGGGGGGACGACCGGGTATCATACCACACAAAGTTGTCTACGAAGAATGATGCACAAAATACCTCAAACTCAATCCTCCCTTCTTCAGACTTTCATTTCCGTCTTTTGGAGTTTTCCAATTGAGCTCGCATGGCCCAGTGAGATACTTGGGTTCGTGTGTGTCTGGAGGCCTTCCTTAGCAGTGATCCCAGGCGGCCAGTCCGTCCGGCTTTGAGTACGCCTGGACTGGCCCAGGCTTTTTCATGGACGGCTGGGCCGGACTGTGGGAAAGCGGCTTTTCCAAGCCAAAGCAGGGCCCGGCCTGGGTCACCCGCAGGCCGATGTTTCAGGGGATCACGTGTGTTTCATTACTAGGAAATATTTCATTATTCAACAGGACTAACTATTTCATGCGGACAATACATATCCACCCGGGGTGGCCAGGGAGTAGTCTCGCCGATTGTGCTCGCGTAACTTGTAATACCCTGTATCCATCTTTGAGATCTCGTACACGAACTCCTTAAGCTCCTTTCCCACGAGTAGATTGATGTAAGCCGTTCCTCGCGGAGCGGATGAGACCCCCGTCGCCCCAACGCCGCCGCCGTTTCTTATATACTTTTATGTTGCTTCGCCACGCTCGCTGCTCGCTGCTCAGGCTGTTGCGGGCGCGCAACCTCCGGTTCCTCCTGGTTATCCCATTCATGCTCGCGCCATGGTTTTCGGTACACCCACTGAGGTCGTGGATCAATAAGGCACACAATCGAGTGATATTTCATCACGGCGGTCCAAAAGTGGTGCCTTAGATGCTTCTTTGGAGTGTTTTGGGATCCTCTTTTTTGATCCTCTTGAGCAAATAACCACCCCCAGACCCTGCAATCAAACCAGAGGGGGGCTCATCGCTGCCGCCCACGGCCTGGTGGCTGACTACCAAATGATCCATCCCCGGGCGCTGACTTGGAATAACTACAGTTGCAGGGTGCAACTTGTATTTTCTGATTTTAGCATATTGGAAAGTCGAAGGCGACCAGACGCACCCTAAATTGTTATAAATTATTGTGATTGTGTTTTCACACCTAAAGGTTGGGGTATTATTTTCTTGGCCGTTGGTGAAACGTTACGTTTTTGCTGGGATAAAAAAACATGGATGGTATTATGTAGGGAGGGTTCGAGATTCGCTGGTATTTAATAGGTTTTCTCATCAGTTTCTGGGGTTAACGGTATTACTGCTTGGGCAGTTTTTAGAAAGTTGTCGGCACAAATTCGGTATAGGAGCCTGGTTAAAAAAGGGCGATCTTTGTTACTTTCTTGGTTTACCGTATTTTCTCGTCAGACTGACTACCTCCGGGCAAGGCCCCGACCCCGAGACTAGGAGGTCATAGCCCCCTTTGTGGAGAGATCGGAACCCTGTGGGGAGATAGCTAATCCGACGAGAAAATAGGTAAACCACTAAACTAAGGGGCCGTTTGGCGTTACGGTTTTGTGTGGTTACCAACCATGGTTTGCCCATAAAGCATAAAAACTGACCAATTATGGCCCTTAAAATGGATTATATAAGCAGGTTTTGAGGCCAAACCATGGTTGGTAACCACCCAAAACCGTAACGCCAAACGGCCCCTAAGACTTTGATTAAAGCTAAACGCCCACCCACCGCCCATAAACGCCCTCCCGCCCCTAAAAATATTTATTATCTCAACCACGGTCAGCATATATGCCACTTAGAGTCGAACTCTATAACTTACACTTCACCCCCCCCACACACACCTTTCCCCCCCACGCTCCATACATCCCATGAGCTCCTCCCCGTCTCTAATAAATTTTTTTGCTTCCTCCCTGTCGCTCGTGTCGCCGCTGTAAATGGCCTTCATTATTTTGACGGCGGACTGCAAAGCGAACGCTTGCATAAAATTCCGATTGTGCTCAACAAGGGTGAGCCTCTTGTCCATTTCCTTGATCATGTTGTTGGTGTGGGCGAGCGCCTTTCCGAGACGGTCGACATTCTCTTCGAGATTCTTGGCGTCCCCCTTCGCATCCTTGCGACCGGACCGCGCATCGGCGACGATGATAGACGTCGGGACAGGTGCCATAATAAGAGTACGCTGGTTCCTTTTCACCCACTCTGCAAGACTTGGTTAACCTACGGGCCACTTCTCAATTTCCATACAAAGGTACAGCCCATAAGTCTTGTATACAGTCGCACCCCGTTGTCCCGGACGGTCAAAATCCTGAGAATCCGTCCGGGACAGCGAGTTATCCGGGACAACCGGTTTGGTTTCGGTGTGAAGAAATTTATAATTCATAGAAGCTCATCCGGGACAGCGAAGAATCCGGGAGAACGAGGTCCGGGACAGCAGGGTGCGACTGTGCTTCCCAATTGCTTCCCGCCGTTGTCCCCCATAAAAGTCAAAACCTTCGTCCCAAAAGCTTTGAAGGAGGTAGACATTCTATTGCTTTATCAGTCTTGTAGAGTGAAAGATGCATGTCCGACTTACTTGAAAGAGAGACAAGATTTGATAAAGGGGGGGGGATTCGATGAAGGGAGAGAAGATTCGATGAAATGAGAGAAAATTTGATGAACGGAGATAAGATTTTTGCTTGATGAAGGAGTACTTGATCTAGTTGAGTTTGGTAGGAAGAAGATAGAGAGATTTCCTGCTCAAATAGGGGTGCTGCCGAGCTACGGTTACCCTCATCCCACCCTCATGCAGCATTCATTGCTTAGTAAGTGGAGAGGATGCAGGTGAAATTCACGAGTTCCCATTTGAGAGCAAAGAAGAAAAATTCGCTATCTCCGTGAGGTCGCTAATCTAGTATTCAGAGACAAAAGTTCCTAAGAAGGACTAGCGCCTTCCTGATACGGGATAGTCTGAGCCATCCAGCTGTGCTGATCTCCTTAACTAGTTGTCGCAATTCCGTTAACTTGCCAACCTAAATCTGTCTTGGGCTGATCTCCCGATTATACAGGGGTATTCGTGACAGGCAGAGATGGCGAATCGAAAGGGTTTTTACGGTACCCTCAGATCTCCTGGGATATCTTTCGGGATTTCTCTCTGCACGACCGGAGCAGCAACTGACGCTCCCTCCACAGCCCTGTGGTAGGTGACAAGGCTAGGGTTTTTATATATTCAAAAGATACAATGCAACTGGCCTTGGTCGCTTTAAATTGCCTCTCGCCTTCTGTATGGAGCAGATAAGAACATGCGCATAGCATACTCTTAGGCGTTTCGGGAGCAGAGACTAACCCAGAACACTACAAGTGAAGTCTTGCCAACTTGTTCCATTCTCCTCTGGCTCAGTTTAGGCCATGTGGGACACGCCGTCTTATGCCTATCATTCCAAGAGACAAATGAATACATCCGATGCGAGTACAGTACGAGTACAGTACTCAAGTGCGGCAGTCTAGCTAATATAATATGTGAGAAATAGAAACGCCATGCGTGATAACAAAACAATATACGAGTAGCCACTGTTAGAATACAAAGCCTTAACTGATTGGAAAAATGGATCGTTCTCCAAAGCTTCCCTGTACTCCAGTGCTTGGATTAGTTTCATGAGCTCGCCCCTCATCTCGGCGGGGGTCACCCCAGAATTCTTCACCTTATTTTTCCACTCAACTGATACCTTTTGGAACAGAGCTGATCCCTCTATAATCTCCTCTTTGGTACAGTTGGTCGTCTTATGTTCGTGTTTGCCGGTGGGATCTTCAAGTTCGTCTGCTTTGTGCTTGGCCATGTTTACTAGACTGCCTTTTGTGGGAAGCGAACAAGTTCCGCGACATCGCAAACGCCTATAGCCACGCAGCAAACACTGCAAAGCATCTGATTTCCTTGACAATATGCTCCGAGATAGCCCAAACCCACCATAGGTACTAGCGCCTCGCCCAAGCTCACCAAGCCAGATGCCTCCATAAAACCGAGAGGTTATATCGTCCTCCCCGAACCAGCCCTACCTCATCTGTAGAATATTTTTTCAGCAAGCCAATAATACCATTGCCCGAATTACAGGGGATACTCCGGTATTCCTAAAGTTAATTCAGATGTAATGGTATAATAAGTTAACCTTAGATCTTTACCAATGGTGGATGGCTATGGAGCTCCTGCCGTGACCTGACCAGTAGAAAGTACCTCCGCAGTTACGACACTCGAACAACCCCTAATTTCAAAAGATTCTAGGGAAACTAAAAAGCGACAAAATACAGGCGAAGGTATGGAGGTTTGGCTGGACAAGAGCAGAAAAGTCAGTGGAAAGTGGAAGGCTTTCTCCTAGCCAACTAAACCAAAATAGGAAACCCAATACTCGTAGCACCTAATCCTAGAGTGACATTTTCTAAACAAAGCTAAAACAGATACATGTTCAACATCTATTAGCATCTTTCGAGGTTCAAAGTGCCTCCTGTGCTTGCATGATCTTGGCGTTTTTTCATGGGGCACGCTTTTCTTAGCCATGCGAGCAGAAGCACCAGTACTGGAGTATCGAAAGGGCTGGTCTTAGACTCCACACACCGTCCAACCCTAAGTCACGCCCGCTTGGCGGAAAACTTGATAATAGCAGGTATGATAATACAGTACTCGAGCACAGGTCCCGGCACAATGCTGTAACCGGTAGTTAAGGGTAAGTAGAGCGAACATGCTCTGATTGTCCCAGAATGATTCGAGCTTTCTGGTTTTCTGAGCGTGCTTAGGGTGGCTAAAAGTGCTGAGTCGTTTGAGACCTTGAAAGGACAAGGATCAGTTTTTCTTACCAAGTTCGGTTGATTGTTGCCAAATATGGCCTTAAAGCGCCTGGGACGATTTTTGACCGTTTCAGACCGCCCAAGGGATAGAGGTTTCGTGGACCCCCGCCGGGGCATATTTTACTTGATGGAAAATATTCTATAAATTACTTGTATGTCGGCTTTGTGTAGAAAAGACCGCCCCTACAACCTGGTGGAAAGTTATCTCTTGTCAGCCTCATACAAGAAATTATACGACTTCGGAGTGCATACAGAACGTCTGGCGGGGAGCTCAAAAACTGACTCTAGGAGTCTCTTTACGGCCTCAAACTACCACATCGAGGCACTTTGGAGCATCATTCTTTGATCAGTCGAGTGATATTGTGCATACAATCCACCCACCTTTCATAACAGACCCGGTGCTATAACTACAACGGCTTTTGTGAAAATTACGAAAACTTTTGTTATGACGCCCCCAATGATAATAATAAAAAAGCAGTGCAATATCATACACCCCTTACTCCTCTTCCATACTCTCCCACCCATCCGGGCCCTCGCCATCCCCACCCTCCACCGCAACACCACCCTCCCCCTCTTCATCGCTACCATCACTACTATCTTCCGCAGCGCCGACAACTCTTTCCTCCCTCTCCTCTCCAGCCACCCCACCAACCCTCGCGGCAAACGCCCTCCTAACCCCGGCATTTGTGCTGGTATCCCAAACCTTCACAATACCTTTACTCCCAGAAACTGCAAGTCTAAAGCCCACCTCTTTATCCGGTGCAAACCTGGTGGAGAAGATCTTTCCTAGATCGAAATCTCTCGAAACCACCATCGCCGGCCCCCCACCCCCATTCTCAGCCCGGGTGTTCCACAGCTTGACGGACTTGTCCACGGACGCGGTGACGATAAACCCGGGGATTACAGGGTTGACGTCGAACGCAGAAAGCGATTTATCGTGTGCGTTCAGCGTCCATACTGGCTTTGATTGTGCCAGCATGGAGGCGGGAGGGGGGTGGCGGGAGTCATACAAGTAGAGGTTCCCGGACTCGGTGGATACGTAAAAGTAGTGGTCGTCATGCGGATCCCAGCGCACGTCTTCCACATCAGCGTCCACGCCCCAGCGTGGGTTTGTGCTGGCGGCGTCCGGGGAGCGCATGTCAGACCAGACGATTGTGCGGTCGTAGCTGCCGCTTAGGATAGTTGTTGCAGAGCTTGGGTGCCAGGCTAATGCACAGATCTTGTCGGTGTGCAGGGAGTTGTAGCTTTTCGCGCACTTGGTTGTGGAGAGGTCCCAGAGTTTCACCGTCTTGTCAGCTGATGCGGAGGCGAGGAGATTGCGGTGCTGGCGGTTGGCGGAAAGAGAGAGGACTGCGTCGATGTGGTAGTTATCGTTTACCTTGGGGGACTTCCTTTTCTTGTTCTTCTTCTTCTTGCTCTTGCTAGCGGAGGCGGGCGAAGGCTCGCTGCCGGTGCCAAGGATTGCATTGGGGAAGAGGCAGTCTACGAGATCCAGGTTCCATATTTCAATGTCCGGGTCCATAGTCCCGATAGCAGCATAGTTGCCTTGAGCGTCTTTGCTATCGGCAGCACTGGTGCCACCGACGGGTATGTCAAGCCATTCTACGCAGAGGGGGATGGCGGGAAGCATAATGTCGTGGTGGACGTAAAGATTGTCGGCTTCATCCTCGTAGACGTAGACTTCCAGATGGGCGATGTCGTCTTCAGTTTTAGCAACGAGGAGGAGGTTGTCTGTTCCCAGCACTTGAAGCTCTTCTCGCTCCTCTTCGGCGTCTTGCTATCGGATGTTTATTAGTGTTTTGTGGGCCGTGTGATCGCGCGGGAATACATACTGGGTCCATGGTGATGTAGGGGTCTTGTTCGCCAGGCTGGTAATATGCTAGACCTTTGATGTTGCCAAACATGCCCATGCCTGAAAAATCGTCTGTCAGTGAACAATTAGAACTGTAGACAGAGGGGAGACAAACTCTCGCCGTCGACAACTTCCGCCTCGGTCGGCTCATCGTACTTATCCAAATCATATTCCCTCAGATCATCATCGTCTCTATTACAGATTAGCATTCCTCACAACCAGAACTTATTCATTTACCGAGAGCACATACTTTTCATCGCCAACCTCTTGCATGTCCTCATCTTTGTCACAGGCCTCCACCCCCGGACCATTGGACTCTCCACCCTTCTCCTCTCCTTTGTAGGCATCACTACCAGCGGATTTCGCCTCCTGTAAATCCTCCTTCGCATCCTCAAGATGTAATCTCGCAAGGTCCGCTATCCGCTCAAACTCTTTCTCGTCAATATCGTAACGCTGCGGGAATTGGGCTGCAAAGCCGCGGGGCACCCAAGTCGTTGCTGTAATCATCGACAAGGCCAATTGTTTATTTCGTTGCAGTTTGTCGGGGAGGGGGAGTTGGCTAAAGGACACTCGGAATAGAGAGGGTCCCACTTTTTCTTCCCCTTGGAGACAGAAAACAAAAAGTGAGGGCAGAGTTTAGTGGGCTTAGGTGCAGCGCCAAGATTTCGCACTTGGCGGAGCCGCTTATCTATGACGGTACCTCAATCTGAAAAAAAAAAAAATAGAGCGCAACGACCGTCAAGTTTATAGCCACGGAGTGCTCTGCTCTGCCGACAGAAAAAAAAAATTCCTACCAGCAATTAAGCCATGGGAAAAATCGGGGAAGCATCGACCTCGCAGTCCCTTTCGAAATCCTTCACCATTCCAAATAAGCTCCACAGACAAGCACACTATGCCCGAGTAAAATCCGCCGTCGAATCCGCAAAGCGCAAAGCGCGATTCCAGCGAAAGAAGGACGAAGACCGAAACCCGGCCCTTCGCGAGGAGCGTTTGAAAAAGAATATCCCAGCAACCCTCGAGAGGAAGCGGGTATGGGACGAGCGAGTCGATGGCGGAATTCCAAACCGTATCGAGAAGCCATTGGTAGAAGGGGAGGAAGAAGCCAGCAAGCGTCGAAAGACCCAAGCAGATGACGAGGAAGAAGACGAAGAAGCCAAACTCCTGGCAGCGCATGAGAAAGCGCAAGCCGAGAAAGCAGAAGAGCAAGAGACTATGGCGCTATTCCCAACACTGGAGACACCGGCCGGCATCTCCACTCCGAAAATCCTGATCACCACCTCGAGGAACTGCCACATCCATGAACCCGCCGAACAGCTCACCCACCTATTCCCAAACTCGACATATATCCCCCGCGGCCGCGAACACAAGTTCTCCATCAAGGAGATCAGCGCATTCGCCTCGAATCCAACGACTACAACCCCGTCCGGCAATCCGCGTGAGCCATACACGCATCTGATGGTGGTTAATGAGGACCGGAAGATCGTGAACGCGCTCACAATCGTCGTTCTCCCCGCGGGACCAACCTTTCACTTCAGTCTTACAAACTACGTTCCCCCGAAGCGCATCAGCGGGCACGGGAAGCCCACAGACCACGTGCCCGAGTTGATATTGAACAATTTCCTCACTCCGCTGGGGAAGCTTACATCTAGTCTTTTCCAGTCCATGTTTCCGAGGCAACCCGAGATCCGTGGAAGGCAGGTCGTTACCTTGCACAATCAGCGGGATTACATCTTCTTCCGCAGGCACAGGTATGTTTTCCGCGAGAGGCGCGAGACGGAAAAGCCGGTGGGCTACGGACTTGAGGATGGGGGCAAGGATGGCGGGAACGGGAGTAAAGGAGATGAGAGTATTCCGATCAGGGTTGGGTTGCAGGAGCTTGGGCCGCAGTTTACGTTGAAGCTTAGGAGAGTGGAGAGGGGAATTAAGGAGGGGGTTGAGTGGGAGTGGAAGGGGGAGATGGAGAAGGATCGGAAGAGGTTTCAACTCTAGAATGGTTTTTCTTATATCTCGGTGTTGTTGTGTTTGGAAAAAAATTTCTCCATGTGTACGATATTATGAACCAATAATTCCTCGTAATCATCATTCGTTGTGGGTCGTCAACCGTTCTGCTTATCCGCTATCAAGGTTTCGCCAACCGACAAGATTGCGACCCCTCCGTGGTTACCCTCCCCACCACCAAAACATTCCACACCCCATTCTGTCCCCGCCATTACCCAAATACATAACCACAACCCAGCAATGCCCGCTCGACCACCCCCAATGACAACAATAGCCAAAAGAGCCTTCGGCACAAGCACCCCCCTGCAAAAAGGTCCCCATAGCGCTCGCGGCGCTATGTCTGCCTGGCTCTCCGGTCCCGGCGCAGTCTTCAAACAGCCCACCGGCGAACCGCAATACATCTCCTCCTACGACCGCTCAACCTGGGAACGCAAAGACAAGGACCGGAATCCGGACGCCTTTGTGCAGCCCTACCCCTTCAACCGGTACTTCAAGTCGCAGCCGGTGCTCACCGACGCCTTCCGCAACGAGATCTACGCCCGCGTCAAATACCGCAACCTGTCCATCCGCCAGGTATCCGCGGCGCTAAGCGTCAGCATCGAGCGCGTCGCGGCGGTAGTGCGACTGAAGCAGGTGGAGAAGGAGCACGTCGCGAGGGGTGGGAGGTTGAGTACTTTTTTGACCAAGGCTCTGGATCAGATGTTGCCCGTAATCGATGTTCCCAGCTCCACCGATGGCAAGGGTAGGAGTGGCGGCGGGGGGGCGTTTGAGGATATCCAGGAATTGCCGATCCATTCGCTGGCCGGGAGACAGGTTTTTGTTCCGACGAGTGAGAGTAGGGAGTTCACCAGGGCCGATGCCGGGAAGGAGTTTGGACTGCCGGCCGCGGATGTGATGGTCCCGCATCCCGACCTCGTCACGCTTGCTAAAGAGCGCTTCGAGAACGTGCCGCTTGAGGAGAGGATCGTACGCCAGGGGGAGCGGGATCGATTGGAGAAGAGGCGGCGCGAGGCAGAGAATCAGAGGGCTAATGAGAGGAAGCGACAGAAGAAGGTGATCGAGGTCGGTAGGTGGAAGTGGTGTCTTACGGAGGCGGAAACTGGGAAGGTAGGGTTTAGGTATGGCTTCCCGCTGCCGGATCGGAAGAAGGGGCACGTCAAAATTCCTACGCATGTTAGCTAAGACTCAGGACACACTGGAGGGGTGGGTACTTTATCGCGAATATAGTCATACTCATCACCGCCTGCCCTCCCCACCTAGCAAATACCTATGGTACATAAATCACCAACCTAACTATACCAGAAACCCATTCCCAGCACTGCCCCACGAACCAGAGAAACCCACGCCGAGCTTACACCAGGTAGGTACCATGAGAGCCTATTGTGCATATCAGAATTGCGTTCCCCGGAGGGGTTACAGAGAAAGGTATAAGATATGTTTGTTCTATGATACTGCCAGAGGCGCGAGGAACCTCCACTACAATGCAAAAGTAATTTTCACATCCCGGCTTCAACCCGACCGAATACAACCATCGATGGCTTGCTTTGTTCTGATACTTGCCAGCGCCTCTATTTATTCCGGAGCAGAGCTTTTATTCGTATGCACAGGGGTGGTGGTGTGCACCACTGATGATCCGCGAGGGGCATCTCGGGGGACTTACCCCTTGCTATGATACCGTAGTGGGTTCTTCAATACCGGTACCATACCCGTCTGCCCATCGGTATCCGGGGGTTCCACCATCACATAATAGTATCATACTCATGTGCAAAAGAAAATCAAATAAACACCTAGTCCACAACGCCATATTATACATACCTATTTACCAATCCTTCCTCCCATTAAACCACACCCCAGCCACCAGGAAGCCCCCTTCCTTCAACTTACTGTGCAATCCCCAAATCTGACCTCTCCTTAGTTCCAATATCACCATCAAAGCGACACTCCACACATCGAAACCCCCCCTCCTCCCCCCGGAAGCACTCACTGCCATCTACATCGAAAGATCGGTCAGTACTGTACTCGGCTCAATTCATCAGTTGCGGTCTATTGAGTAGGCAGATAGATTAATAGTAAGTTGAAGTAACCCCCTACCAATCCACCCACCCTTCCTGCGGGTGAGAAAACTATGAAAAGCATTTTTCGTGCGAGCAACGCAAGTACCCATACCTATTCCATCCCTAGAGAAAGTAAAAAAAAAAAAAAGAGGAAAGAAAAGAAGGGAAAAAAGAAATTGAGAAAAAGAAATAACTCCAGAGAAATCGAGAGTGGCTTATGATACATTGCCTTCGTTTTTTGTTTCTTCCCTTCGATTGGGGTGGTGATAGTGGGTTGGATGTGAGTTACGTGCGGCGAACTTTTGTTTTGCGAGGTCGAGATATCTCGAGCATTGATGACTTGTTCCTCCTTTCTTTCCGCTGATATCCGGGCATCACAATCGAATATGTTGTCGCCCGCCCGCTTGCCAGTCTGCTTTATTAAACGCCCACTGCCACACCTGCTAGCGCCAAAGTGAAAGAAAATACGGCAAAATTGTGTTGTGAAAAAAGAAAAAAAAGAAGAAGAGAATAATATAAGGAACAGAGGTAGGAGAATCACCCGCGAATAAAAAAAGTATGGTGGGATAGAGAGAAGAAGAGAGAAAGGGGCAAGTTAAAGATAAAACCCGGAAACACGGGTCTCTTATTAGACAAACACCGACGATTTCCACACTGATTGGGGCTGCCGTTGTCTCCTGTCCGTGTCATGGGTGGAGCAGAGCAGACTTCTGAAAGTGTGGTGAGGTTTTTCTCTTCTTAGTCCATGCGCTCCGTTCGAGGAAGGGGAGGGAAGTGTTTTTGGTGGCCGTCGCATTTCGTTGCTCGGATAGCGTGGTGGTGGTGGCAATATATCGGGTAGAACAGATGGGGTTATCGTCTCCGGCCTGATTTTTTTTTGATTTTTTTTGATTTTTTCGTCATTTGTTTGTTTATTTGTTCGTTTGCCTCAGCTATTCGAAAGCAGACAAAAGGATGCTGGAGAAATACTCCGAAGCCTCCTTAGCCTGCTTCTCCTGCCATTCCTTCTCCCACAGCAAAACCTTCTCTTGGATCTCCTTCTCGTTGGTAATCCCCTTCTTGCGCGCCCTAGCCGAGAAATTCGCAAGGCGAGCGGAAGTCTTCGCCTTCTCGGGGTTCTTCTTGCGGTAGTCGGAGGAAGACAGACGGTTGCGTTCAATTGGGGTTCCCTTCGGCTCTGCTTCCTCCTTCATGGCTGCGTGTGCAGCTCCATGCGCAGCCTCGAACTCCTCCTTGTCAGGAAGGCCACGTGTAGAGTAGTACTTCAGGTGATGCCAAAGTGATTGCCTCGGATTCCTGCCAGTGAATGTCTGGCCGCAGCCCCTAACCGGGCACTTGAGGGTTGTGGGCGCTGGAGAGGCCGAGCCAGACTTCTCCACACGACCAGACTTGACGGTCCGAGATCTCGGCTTTGGGGTGTGGGGTTTGCTAGTGGCATCCGCGGTGGCGGGCGTGGCAGAGGAGGAGGAGGAGGAGGATCTCGGCACGGACGCCGAAGCCGACCCCGCCGCGGACTTGATGGTCTTGGCAAACTTTGGTGCCCTGACGAACGGTTCCGGGGAGTCGGGCGGTTCATACTCTGACGCCGAGGAGGACGATTGATAGCCGGTGTCCTGCATGTCATCGCTAGGCGGAGTCGAAGACCTTCTTGACTGCCGCTTTTCCTCCTCTTCCTGACCGGCCCCCATGTCGACTCCGCCCGATTTGCTTTCGAGGGGTGGAGATGTCGTGGTTGTAGTAGTAGCGGTTGTGTTGATTGGTGCGATGGGTGCGATGGGTGCGACTGGTGCGACGGGTGCGACTGAGGCTATTTCAGCTATGGGCACCTTTTCCTCGGCCTGGAGGGCTACGCTGGCGGGGTCTGCGGAAGACATTCTTTTTGGTGGGTGATGGATGGTGACTGTGGGTAGGGTCGCGTTGTGGATCTGAATGGGTGGTAGGGACAAGGTGGAGATTGATTATGGTTAGCGCCTGTTGCTAGGGTTGGATGGTGTGCCGGGTAACCCCAACAGTGAGACCAACCTCCCCCAAAAGAGTGCGACTTGTACGAGTATGATACCATAGATTGGTTGGGGAATGAAGGTAAGATTGCTAGGAAGTTCTTGATTGTGTGCGGCTCCATCACGATCAATTTTCCCTCTTCTCCCGATCCGTGGACGATGGTTGGCTTGGCAAGCAGTAATAAGTTCCCTCTGCAACCCCCTCCTTTGTCCAACGACTGGCTCGAGTATGACATCTACGATAGCTTGGCCACCAACCGACAATAACGAGATATAAGCGCTAGGAATCGCGAGTTGGAGTCAATATCCTCAACCGAACATGGCAAGTTCCCGTTGTTTGTTCAATTCAATTCCGAATCCGATTCTCCCCTTCTGTCGCCTCTTCAATCCACCTGTAGGTTAACACTCGCATCACACCCTCAGTTCAACCTCAATTCCATAGCACGAAACATAACAAAAAACCCCGCCTAGCTCCGGCTTCATGAGAACTACTTCTCGCTCATAACAGTCACCAATACAATCTACGAGTGATAATCTGTGGAAATTCTCACAGTGCAGTGCTTCAAATGGACTCCACAATTCCCGCCAAAAGACTACTTTCAAGCAGCAAAGCACCACCCCGAGCTACCCACCGATACCCGACGAAGTGCAGGTGCCGTCTCCCATGTTTGCACGGGCTCCCACGTACGTGATTACATGTCATATCCCACCTGGTGCACCAAGACTCCCGATACCCCTACCGCAGAACTCCACCACGCCTGGTGCCCCCATCAGCAACTGGACCCCGTCCCGGCCTGACCCTTGGACGAACCGCGGGGCATTCGGACCCTCTGTCAATCACAAACTCTCACTCGCCCCAGGTGGGCACCCGCCCATGTTTTCGAACGTTCCTGTGACTTGTCGTGGGAGCAAGTTTTCGATTCATACCTGTTGGTGTGGACTAGTCTCCTCCCGGTTGGTATACGCCCCGTTGGCCGTGATAAGTGTCGGAAGCGGAAACACTCGGCCGTGTCTGTTCGAGTTTGGGTTTTAGCTTGCCCGCCAACTTCACAAGTCGCCATACCATGGCATCTGTGATGGCGGTAACGACCACTCGAGGCCATTCCATAAAAGTCTACTCAAGTATATACACTTGGTCGGCAGATGCTTCCCAGCCAGGGCCTCGCTAGGCCTCGAAGGAGGACCAGGTCCGCTGCGCGGAATAAAGTGGGAGACCTAACTAGAAGGCAAGCATCACAGCAGAGTCACCTCTAAAGGGAGAACGATCTGTTTCAGCGAGGAGCGCATGCCCTATTCCACAATTCAGGAACTTCATTAGCCCAAATGTTCCATATCTATGCGCTGTATGAGACTCTCACCGCGCAAGTAGGATAGAAATTCGTGTCACACTAGCCGACGCGTAAAACTACACGATATGGCGTAGTACGGATCAATCAAATCGTGTGTTGTCCGAATAGCTTTAGCCATAAACACACCCATTTAATAAACCCGAGTCAGCAGTTACTCACAAGAACTCACTCGTTCAAGGCAATCTGCAAGCTACTTGCTTGCTGGAGCCCGTTCCCGGGCATTCCTCCTTTACGCCAGATCTGCAGAGTGACGAGTTCGGAAATGTGCCGATGGATCTTATCTTGCAAGAGTACTGTTGCGCTTATTGGCCACTCTAGCTGTGTTCAGGCACCGTGATTCTCTGGGGGGGGTTACTGTTTTACTTATTATTCTAGCTCCCTTATCCGCCATCTCTTGGATTATCAATTAACTCACTTTGTTATCGAACCTCTTGCACGAGATGATGCACGAGATGATTGCTTTGATGGGAAGGTCAGAGATATACCACCTTGATATCGCACTACACTTTGTATTATTCACTCCTATATGATACATCAACACCGACTACCTAGCCCTCATCTCACCCTCCCGAAGTATCCTACAATGGAAAGCACGGGTCTTGCCAGCTCCCCCTACGGGTTCTCTCGCCTTGTCTCTCTCTCTCCTACTGTGTAACTATGTCTGCGTTGCAGCTGCGCTTGATCACCCGTCTATAACAGTAGTGACAACATTTACCGCCACCCAATTTTATATCCCCCGGAACACCTACAATACCCCCCCCAGAAACCAGAGGAAAGTGCAGTACTCAACGCGACTCCCGCCGAATAATACCACTCGAGCACTTTCCCTTACGAACATAAATCACCACTTTCATAAACCAATCAATCCAGGCAGATATATCATTACACCTCCACAACTCAAACTATATCAAGCTTCCCCCACCACCACCACCAGAAGTAGCATTGCACCGGCACCATTACCGCGTTCGCATCAATCGAGGGTCTTCAATGGCACACCACCACACACTGCCCAAGAAAAGAAAGGAAAAAGAAGACCGCAAAACCCGGACGGTTTCATGCGCAATATGACCTCCCCACACAAAGCGCTTGCCACGCGGATACGATACCGGGAGCTCACCCACACCCCGCAAACATATCCTGGGTGTCCAAAATCCGAGCACCGATCACCCAGTACAAGATAGGAATCGGAAGAACAGATGATACGACGGACGGGGATCGATCGATTGATCGATTGATTGATTTGCTTGGCCATCCTGCGAAACGGGAACACGAACTTAATATATATGAGTACATCCCACGTTATTGACGTTAGAGAATGTCTGAAGGTAGTGGTAGAGAGGAGCAGGGAGGCGCTGGTAGATTACTGGCTTCTGACAGGATATAGCTCAGGTTTGATACCCCCTCCTATCATACGAAAATCTTTTGTATCAACTAGTACACTACACACAGCACAGAGCCGGAGAGAGAGAGGAGGGGGGGAATCGAGAAATCTTGCGAGGACGCTGGGTCCCGCCTCAACCAAGTTACCGAAATAGAACCCCCCGGAAGCTCCTCCTCCCTCACTACTCTAAACAGTGGTTATCTTCAGCTATTGCGGTTCCCCAAGGTACGATGCCGCACGGTGCATCGATCGCATCCACCTTGGACAATATAGTTTACGGTAATCCCCCCCAGGCTTGTTAGATGCCGCTCGTGCGCAATCTTCAATTACATCATCGAGAAAAACACAACCCCAGCCCACAACGCAATTGTATCGTACTAACCCGATTATTACTTGTACCACCCGTTCCAAGTCTGCCCCGCGGGTCCGATTTCCCGGGTTGGGGTGAGGTTGCGTAGGACGAGAGTGGGGGGATGCTGCGGCTGGAATTGCTGCGATTTTCCGGGTGTTTACTGCTTCAGATGTGGGCTGCCGGCTGTCGGAATAAGCAAGCGCCGGAAAAGCACAGGGGCTCACTCGACGTTACCCAGATTTCCGATATTGTTAATTCAGATAAACAGGAGTTAAAAGAATATGGTATTAGCGGCAAAACAAGTTATCCGACTTCCCAGTTGAGACAAACAGGTCCCTTAAATACACAAATTCTCACAGATACCATAATACAGGATATATAGTCATCTCCCTGAAATAGACTGTGGTGTGCTAGAGAGTGATGCGGAATGGCCAATCTGTGAGAATAAGAAGAAAAAAAAGAGGACTATCCTATAACGGGTATCAGTTAACTCCCACCCCCCATCGCCTCACAAATCAATCTGCGGCTTCCTCTCAACTGTCAAGAACTTGAAATCAGGAACAACGGCATTCTCCCCTCCGTCCTCCCCGGCAATCGGTATAGGACGGTAGTGCTCAAGTGGACTACTTTTGTGCACTCTCCCATTTATTGCAATGACATCCAGCTTCGAATGGTCCTGCAAGATGGTGATGTCCTCCAGTGGATCCCCATTGACAAGAATGCAATCCGCGTAGTAACCTGGCTGGATCTTGCCCAGTTCGTGCTCGCGCATGAAGAGTTTGCCTCCTTCAGCCGTTGCGGCGATAATTGCTTCCATAGGCGTGAACCCCAGGAGTTTGACAAAGTGCTCGAGGTCGCGGGCGTATGTACCGTGGGGGGTCCAGGCAAAGCCATAATCGCTAGGTTATGAGTATCAGCAAAAGATAGGGTAATAATAGGCGGGAATGGGGGACAGGGGAGAAGGCCGCCTTACCCTCCGGGGAGAACGGTGATCCCCCTGCGGCGCATTTCTTTCAACCCTTTGATAGCGGTTTCAAGTTCGACTCCGTAGCCCGCTTTCTCGGCTGCTGCTTGGGGGTAACCGAATGCTGCCGCTTCATAAACTGCTAGCTGTCAATGTTTAATTCTGCTGAATGGGTAAGAATAGACGCACGCGTAGCATACAGCCAATTTAACGCTGGGACAACAACAACCTTATCCTTAGCCTTCTCCAGAAGGTCCATTCCTTCATCATCGATGTAGCTAGCGTGAAATATGACGTCTACGCCATACAAGACGCTCAACCTGACAGACTCCCTCGCACGCGCGTGCGTGCAGACACGTTTTCCATGCTTGTGCGCTTCATCAACGGCGGCTTCCATGTCTTCCGCAGTGAAATAGCAGTCTGTCGCAGCCCTAGTTTCCGTAACCTAGCTCCCCTCCCCTCCCATTACCATTGCAATCCGCCAGAAAGGATCAGGGAAGAGTGAACCTACGGATTCGCCAGAAATACTTAGCTTGATCTGATCCACCCCGATTTTAACATGCTCACGAATAACTTCCCTAATTTCCTCCGGGCTATTCGCATACGCAGTAATTCCGGGGACTAAATCGCCATCCACCTTGGCGAGCTCCTGCCCATTGGCCAAATACCTTGGCCCATAGATATCGCCAGCGTTGATAGCATCTCTGATGACAACATCCAATCTCGGCTTCGCAGAGGCAGCGCCCCAGCACATGGTGTACCCCGAGTCAAGGAAACATTGGGCAGAGCGCATGGTAAGGAGGGTATGCTCTTCGATACCGAGCTCAGCAAGGGCGCTGAGGTTACCCCCGTTCCAGGTGAGGTGGGTGTGGGCATCGCATAGCCCCGACATCAATGTTCTCCCGCGGCCGTTGAACACCCGGACTGTTGGGTCGCGAATGAGCGATTCGATGTTGGATACTGTGCCGACCTCCACGATACGCTCTCCTGTGATGAGTGCTCAGTTAGTTTTACATTTTACATTATATGGCGCTGGGGGGAGGGGTGGCAAGGGAGAGAACAGGACAGGGGCAAACGAACCCTTAATCAGAACATCACCCGGATAAGGTTCCCTCCCAGTGGAATCCAGAATACGAACATCACGGAATAGAATTCGGCTGTCTGGATGAGTTCCGGCAATTTCGTAGTTCTTTGGTTGTAGAGGGTTCTTCGACACCCCGTTGACGGTGCTCGCAATCGGGTTCTCGGCCATGACAGGTAAGACAATTGAGAATGATAGTAGCCGTCCTTAACCTTTACTCAACCCTGACGCAATAAATGGGGTGTGTGGTTCGGAGGAAGAGGAAGAGGGAAGGAAAGGGAAAGAAGGCGTTTTGTGTACCGAGATACGATATGGGCGAAATAGTTTTTAGCAAGAAGCAACTCCTCTCCATTCCCTTCGTACTAATACCGAAAGCTCCATTCACAAGGCTTCAGCAACTTCCTCCTCCATCACCCGACCCCATCTCCCCCACCTCCCCACCATTCAAAGGGGGAAAAAAATGACCATACAAAGGATGGGGTAAAGCATCCAATAGCCTAAAAATATAAAAACACATACAGAGCGCATTATGCAAAGTGCAATGCGAATGTGCACGCTCGCGGTCGGGTGCGGAGTGATGAAATGGTCTATGGTGAAGGACGTCTGTAGCCCGAGAATTCTACCAGGAAAATACGGCTCAACTCCAGTCCCCAAAGGATTTGCGACAACCACCCTGATGAGAATTATGGCTCTATTAGACGATAAAGTGGGCAATTTCCCACATATCGATAGCGAGAGGATAAAAACATCTCCGGTTTTCACAGAGATATTGGGTTCAAAAGTAGGTCTAAATTTTGGCCGGAGCAGGAGGGTGTCAAGGACATGTTAACCACTGTTAATTTCCCTAGCACAGACGATTGATGGACATTTTCCAATCGGTTAATCCATATTAAGGATCGGCTCGGCACACTAACATACTTGCACTAAGCACGGACCAATGTCCGCCTTCCCGACTCTAGAGGTCCCTCACCAGAGCCGATCGTTGCAACATGGACAAATCTTCACGCTTCCGGTTCCTGATCCTGCAAGTTTCAATGTACCCCGCTGGAGACTGCCGCTCAGGAGGATTTCGGTAGCTCACATGCGAGGAGAAAGTGGAGGCTAAACTAAGGTCTTGAAGGCTTTGTGTGGGGAGATGCCGCCATTTCCGACGATTACTGGTGGCAACCTAGGAGAGGCAGTAATTTACCGGTATCATAGTCCTTTGGAGTTCCGATAAAGACACCGAGACCGGCAATAGCACAGGGCCATCTGGTCCTCCCGGGTTAAGCTGTTCGCAAACAACGGAGACATCTGGGCGATGCACCGTAGTGAGATAATTAATTTTGTAAAGGCGGGGTGTGGGGTAGGGATGGAGGCGGAGGTGGAGGGAACCTGAGGAGAGTTTCCGAACTCGAACCCCCGAGTTAAATGGACATAGAAGGAGGGTGTTTTATCTATAATGCCAATGCTATTTTCACTCGACTTCCACAGCTGGTGTGTACGCACAGGAACTTCTATAGTCTACTCGAGGAACCGTACCACACAAAACCTCTGAGTCCGTGCGGGTGCATTCGCCCCTACCTGACGCTACATTTTGCGGGAGCTCAGCTAAATTGACACCTCATCGACAGCCGGCGCGAAATACCAAAACAAACATCCGAGATCGAGATGGGTTGGATGCGAAAAACAAAGGATAGGAAGCATGATGGGGAGGATGGAGACCTTGTAGAGATGGTACATATCGAAGATGCTGCTGATGGGAATTCAGAGACTCTGGATGTTAAGTTGTATTCGAGAGAGAGGGTTCCCTTCCTGGAACCGAAAGTCGTCGCCAAACATACTTCTGTCGAAGCGGGTAGCATTTGTGAGTTCTGGTTCCATATGAATTTTAAGCATGGCCACTTATTAGCGGTTTACATTAATTGTGGGAGCTTTTGCGATTACCCAAGCATTCTAGCCACCCATATTTTTTTCAATGACTGTTTAATGCTGACCGCCGCGCGCCCTTCCTAGGGATCGTAATCGACGGGATAGTCTACGATGTGACCACATTTCCTACAGAGCATCCAGGTGGGGCAGAGATAATCGAATACTTTGGTGGTCAGGACTGCTCGTGGCAGGTAAATCTTCACCCTCCAACTTCAACAGTCATCTCCGGGAATCATGGTGCGTAGTCCGGTGCTGACAGCCTCCGTTAGTTCTGGAAGTTTCATACCTAGAGCCACCTAGAGCAGTTCAAGGATAAGCTGCGCATAGGTCGGGCGGAAGGGTTAGAAAACAGGTGGCCCGAGCCAAAGAACTATATGGCTTGGGCAAAGGGGTATACCTGGTGGTGATAGGGATAGGTGGTCATGGGATCTCACTCGGGACTGCGAGCCCGATGAGCACATTTCTTTCTCTTGACCGAATCTCTCGATGTATTTGTCACCAATAAATTGGCTGAACGCTGATTGGCTTTCCCACAAACAGCGCTCTTCTCCGTATCTTCCCAATGGAGTATCTATCTCCAATTACGAACCACATTGCGGAAAAGGGCACCTGCAGACGCAACCACAGTCCCTGGTGCACTGAATGCGATGCCTCCTAGAATTCCGGTACGGAGGATAGGGCGATCCAGCCAACGATATGTGCCTGTCATACAAACGATAGAACCCAATTAGGTGTTTCCGAACTCCGGAGAAGTTTGCCCTGACTTCAAATCCGATGACTACATCAGTATCGCGAATGGAACAGATCCATAAGGCATTCCGGAGAACGGAGATGAGCTCTCCTCGATCCGTCAGGATTACCCCCAAAAAGCAAACCTAGCAGCGAAACCACTTTTCTTTCCCATACAGAAAAAGTTACCTTGCTCGGGCACTCGAGTACTCGGATTATGTTACTACCGGTGGACATGTGAGCCATGGCCTTCCTCCGTCACGTTGACTCCAGCAGATACCTGAGAGGGATTTGACCCGCATTGCACAGTAGCCGCAATTGTGGGTACTGTATCCACTCTTTTTCCCTTATTCATCTCGGTAAACTGAATTGTAGGACTTGATTAGTCTCTTTTTCCCTCTTGTCTGCCGCATGTCTCACCCTGGTCCGCCGTGTACGCATTTACACGATAGGCAATTACAGTACCGGTACTGTGTGTAGGTGGGGCTCAATTGAGCCAGTAGAAAATAACGGGAGTCGATGGTGGCTAGCTTAGACTCGCCGTACCGACCCAAAGTTTTCTCACCTAAACATGTTAGCTGGTACGGTAACCGCGTCCTGTCGGGCACGGTGCAAAAGATGCTCCCCGTTCCGCTCGTTAGATGTTAGATCTTTGACGTGTGAGAAGCAAGAAAGGATCCCTGTGCAAATCACGGAAGTGGACCCATCTTTTTCCAGCAATTCCGTGATCTCCGATTCCGGGCTCCCCGCTCAATTCTTCAAGTCGAGTGATGAGTGGGTCCAGTGAAACTCCATCCAGCGTATGATATGCAATGGCTACATGGTCGCGGATTTGTACGGAGATATAAATCCCAGTACCTGTTTCTCTGGGAATTCGGATCTCGGTAATGTACGAGTAATTATGTTAGGGCTGGCTCGGTGGAGGGGGCAGAGGCACATATTTCGAGGAATGGTGGATGGTTTGGGGATCGAGAAAGGACTATTAAAGGGAAGAAGGATCTCCGAAGAGGAAGAGAGTGCTGACGATATCCAGGAAGGAGGACGCTACCGTATCACTCTGGGCTCCCTCCCCCCATCCACCCCTACGTAACAACCCGATTAAATCATGACGGTCCCGGCCTCAACCCCCCTAACTAACTTCGCGGCATACACCCCTCCCAATTCTACACAGCCACGGATTGGACATTTGGATCTTGATAGTCGGACAATAACACCTCTCTCTCATCAATCGGGAACTCCTCTTACAAACCTCTACGAGGTCATCGCAGCTGGCAAGAATGCCCAATTTATCCCGACCTCCATATTCGAATCTCCCCTCGAGCTCTCCTCTGTCACTCTTCTCCCACCGATATCGGGTCGGGATGTACTGGCTGTAGGAAAGAATTACGCCGAGCACGCAAAAGAGTTCAGTTCAAGTGGGTTCGACTCGAGCGACAAGGCTGACCAACCGACACACCCGGTCATATTCACCAAACGGGCCACAAGCATTGTGGCATGCGGTAGTGAGATATTCCCACACACAGGATGGACAGAAACTTTGGACTACGAAGGGGAGATTGGGGTAATTCTGGGGAAGGAGGGGTTTGGAATTCTAGAAAGCGAAGCTTTGGACTACGTTTGGTAAGTGATATTCCTCGACCCATGTTCCTCTGAAAGTCTTGGAAGCTAATGCCTGTTTGTGGTTCAGGGGGTTTACGATCGTAAATGATGTAACGGCCCGGGAAAAGCAGAGGGATCACAAGCAATTCTTTCTTGGGAAGTCTGCAGACACATTCTGTCCAATAGTGAGTTAGCCCTCGGTCTTCTAAATCCTCACCCAGACATAGCCAATCACTCACAACTACTAGGGGCCGATTGCCGTACCAATAACATCTCTCCCGGACTACCAATCCCTGCGAATAACAACGAGCGTAAACAATGAGCTCCGTCAAGACTCGAATCTCTCGAAGCTAATATTCTCTATCCCCACCCTCATCTCCACCATCTCAAGCGGCCAAACCATCCGGCCAGGAGACGTGATTGCAACCGGAACACCCGCAGGGGTTGGGATCGGCCACGCCCCCCCAGCGTACCTAAAGCCCGGGGACGTCATACAAGTTAGTGTGAGTAACCTCGGAACACTGACCAACAAGATTGGCACCCCCGGCAAACGACCACCACAAATTCTTCAGCAGCAGCCACCCGCCTCAAAGAGCGTTGTTACCCAATTGACTACCCTCCGTAATGGGAAGCAGGTCTATGTTGAGCGCCACGGCGACAAAACCTCCTCTAACATCATTGTCTTTATCCACGGCCTCGGTGCAAATACGGCTTTCTACCACCCGTTATTATCACCAGCATTACTAAAGCATAACCTAATCCTCTACGATCTAGAAGGTCTTGGTCAGACACCCACAACAGCGAGTTCCATCACCAGCATACCCACCTATGTTGACGACCTCGAAAACCTGATGTCCTCTCTCCCCCTTCCCCCCGCCCCTAGGATCTCCGTGGTAGCTCACTCCTTGGGCTGCCTCATAGCCCTAACCTACGCCTCCAAACACCCCCTCCAAAACTTGATTCTCCTCGGCCCCGTACCCATACCCCTCAACCCAGCCTCTGCAGAACTCATCCTGAAGCGCGCGAACAGAGTCCGTGCAGAAGGCATGGTCCCAGTCACAGAAATAATCATCTCTGGAGCTATTTCGCGAAAGACTCGCGCGACAAATCCCCTGGCTGTAACACTCAGCCGGTGCATACTTCGCGGGAACGACGTGGAGGGCTACGCCAAGTGCTGCTCTGCGTTCGCGCGGTTCACAGGAGAGGGCATCAATTGGGACAGATTGAGGGTCTCTGGTGAGAAGGTTGTCATTGCGGGCGATGAGGACAAGTCTGCACCGCTCAGCGCCACCAGGGAGACTGCTGAGAAGGTTGGGGCTAGGCTGGTTGTGCTCGAGGAGGTGGGGCATTGGCTAGTTATGGAGGACCTGGAGGGGGTTGGGCGGGTTGTTGAGGGAGTTTTTTGTTAGAACTTAGAAGTATGCGGTTAGTCTCAGGTGGCTTACAATGCGAATAAACGTCATGCCTAAGCTTGCTTACTAACCGACTAACTAACTTGCAGACTGAAGATGCATAAAAGATAAAGTGTGTCAAATCAGATACGAGGCAATAAAATTCAAATCCTACAGCACCTATTCCTTCTGCCCAAACTAGAAATGGAAAAAACAAGTGGAAAAACAGATGAGAATGGATAAAACTAATTCGTAAATAAGACGAGATAAGAAAGTAAGCTAGCTAGAAACTTTAGGCAAAAGGATAACTTTCCGGTGCGGTGGGTAGGGACGATACCAAGAAGAAAAAAAAACATATCACTTTTCCTATTCCTCTTCTAAACGAACAGATCAGAATAGAATAGGATAGGGCAGGTTTACACCAAGGACAGGGCACACTGTTGTTGGTTAATCTCATCCTACCCCGCCAGCCTCAAATCAGCAAAACTAACCCCAGAAAGCGAGGGAAGAAGGGGGAAAAACAAAACCTACCCAACAAAAAGCCCCCGGCGAAACCCACTGGCTCAGATCTTGCATATAACTCCCGTGCAGCCAATCGTCCAACTCCATATCCTGCGGATATATAACCCCCAGCGGCGCAAAGTTTGGATTCGTTACCGCTGCCGACGGCGGGGCCTGGTAGTACATCGATTCGGGGATAATGCTCGTTTGTGTGGCGGTGGTGGTTGGGTCGAGGTGGTATGTGTTTTGGTGATGGGCATTGGCGAACGAGTGAGTCGGGTAGAGAGGGGTGTCTTTGTACACTTGGGGTTGTTGTTGCTGCTGCTGCTGTTGGGGGCGGTGGGGTGGCGATGGGGTAGTGATGGTTTGGTGTCCGTAGGTTGTGTCCATTGCTTGGGTGGGGGGTTGTGGAAGTGCTGCTGGCGGTGGTGGGGGGGTAGCAGCCTTTATGCGGCCGGATATTTTTTTACTGATAAGATCCTAGTGTTAATACTTCACTATCGGGGGGTGGACGGGAGGGGGGATCACCGGAGGAAGGTTATGACAGGCAGGGTCTTTACGGCGATTGAGCTCCTAGGTGTGTTCTTGGTGAAGTGGTCGTGTACCTGCTGGAGGGTCTCCCAAGTGGATGATTGACTCGGGTCATGCATGGATAGTAGATCTACAGATATCACTACCGCGGCGTGGAACGCATGGAAGGTTGCAAGGCCGTTGGTGTACCATCTGTAAGGTTGATATTTCGGCTTCGTATTTAAGATGTTGTATATTTCCAGGATCGATGTCGCGGACTCGATGCATTGCCTCCTCGAGTCCGGAGCGACAGGGTGATTCTCCGCAGACGATCTGTGAAAGTATGGTCGATGGAGGAGCAAGAACATCTGATGCAGATGTCCGTGCAGGATGTACCAATGCACTTGATCGTTGGCCTGCAGCTCGTTTGGCCCCGTGCCGTCAACCGAGTACCTGCCCGGCCAGATCTTCTGCTCGTTGCGAATCTCCTGATCCAGTTCAATGATGGTCGAGTAATCCGGTTTTTCCGCGCCGAACAGCTTTTCGTATATCTTGGACGTGATATTCAGAAGCCGAAATTTCAGATTCAGATAAGTCATCTGCGTTGGGCGTGAGGAAGCTTCCCGCACCCCCGTCCTGGTGATGTCGACATCGTTCACATCTAACGGCATGCGCGTTTCAAATTGAGTAGCCCTCATCATGCTCGGTCTACCGAAGGCAGACGCCTGGAAGGCGTCAAGCATGAGGATTGCTGCCCAGCATCGTCGTCTCTGCTCCGTTTGTACCGGATCCAGCCCGAGATTCGCCCCGTCTTTATGACATCCAAGTCCAGCGGCAATATTCGCGGTCAAGCCTATGATCACCAATCAACACAAGCGTCACATTTTAGAATTATGCATCCGGGGTTACAGGTTTAGGGTTGTTTGTGGTGGGGGAACGCGGGAAACTCCCAAAAATAGAGAGGGGAAATAGATGGAAAAAATGGGGGATCATGGAAACCCACCCAGTAATGCCCAGTTCATGCCCCCATCGTTAGAGTGATTCTTTGAATAAATGAGTAAAATCAAACATTGGATAGTGCTGAGGCGATAGCTCTCCATGAACCGATCGGCAACAAGGCATCTCATCGCTAGATCGCAATATCGTTTGACATAACTACTCAAATCCAAACCCCTGCCTGTAGACATATGCAGATGCTCTTTGAGGACCGCGTCGTTATCGTCCAGTGACATGACACCCACTCCGAGCACAACGAATAGAAGTGCAAGCCATGAGAGCGAAACATCCTTTGGCGACTCCCAGAATACCCGATAATCCTCCATGAACGACGGCTCATGGAGGACATGAAACAATGACGCGAAAACCTCGATGTAGCGGGAAACGAGATAGTCAATCAGCGGCTTCGGCGGAAGCATAAGAATGAATTCGCCAGCATCCGTGTTTGTCGGCGCTGTGAACAAGGAATACGATGCGGGGGTCTGCTTCTCTACTTGCGGCTGCTGTGGCTTATTCCCGTCGTTCGACACCGGTCCTTCCTCCCCGTCGACTTCTCCTCCGCTGATATTCCGTATGGAAGCCTTCAAGTCGCTCATTTCTAATAACACGCAATCCCATCTCGACTGGTCAACGTAGGAAGCTCCCCCATTGGTGTCATACTCCAGAGAGGCGTTCGGGCGGCCATTCCTGCTGTCCCTATCGTCCTCGTCATGATGCCCGGGAGGCGACAGGGTACTCGACGCACTAGTAGCCGGCGACAGTGGCGGGGGCATATGTGACGAGATATCGCTATTCCCAGCGCCGCCGCCGTTCGGCGGTGAGCCGGCCTTCACAGTCTTCTCTGTAGCGAGGATTTCCTGGATCATGGTTTCGAGTTTCTGTAATCTCTGGCGTAATTCTGCACATTCCTTAGCCTGACGGAGAGCAGTCCCCTGGGGGCCAAAGGAGCAAAGCAGCGCATCCCCCCTGTTAACGCATGTTCCGCATGGTAGTTTTCGATCACATTTTGTCTTCTTCTTAATGCACGTAGCGCAGCTCAGTGGTCTCCTCACGCCGCGGGATCCCCTAGGTCGGTTTGCTGGAGAAGAGGAAGTAGTCTCGGTGCGGGTCGTGATTGTTGTAGTGGAATGGTGGGTTGTGCGGGAACTCGCGTTCCCGCCATCCTCGGCGCGATAATCTTCGGCTGGCGGAAGTCGAAACTGGGTGAACATTTCTGCGGTTCTTGGTGTTTATTTATTTTCCTTCTTTTCCAAGCTTTGTTGGTTCGCCTGTACAAGTTAGGAGAATAGAGAAAGAGGAGGACGAGGGGGACGAGGAGGGGGTGGGTGGGTAGGTGAATGGACAAATGAGTGAGAGAGTGTGAGAGAAGTAAGTCTCACATGGAGGGTGTAGGAAGGGGTAAGGGAGTTGGAAAAGGTGGAGGTATGGGTGTGGTATAAGCAGGATATCCGTTTAACCTTGCTTCCTCCTTGGTCTGGGGTTCTTCTACTGTATCTGCGCTCCCTCACACCCGCACACCCACAGCACTCTTACACACAACCATACACGCGCCGCAAGAAAAAAAGATAGCGATTAGAAAGCGTGGGGAAGACTAAGGTTTGCGAGATCTACCATCTAGAACGATGCAGACTGTGCTGGGGTGGGCCAGACCATTCACCTGCCATATCTATTCCAGCGTACCCTACTTGGGAAGCACTCGTGCGCCACTCCCAGCACTACCGCTACGACCATCACCACCGCCACCGGGATACGCTTCACCCGCTGAGGTGCAAAAGAGAGATTCGTTCTAACCGATGATTACTTATACAATAATTTATATGTAGTTTATTTATTTACTTAACTATTCCAACACTTGTTGGGTGTTGGGTGCGGAAGAGGTTGGGATGGGCTGGTCTACTGGAAGTGGAAGGGAGAGAGAGTACGGTAGGGTGTCGGTTCGTTAGAACTTTCCCTTATGACACTCAACATCAAGGAGTATTTCAACATCTGCGAATGCCGATAGAATTCTTAAAATCCCTTGGGTAAATATTTCCTATTGGTTACTGGAAATTTTTTTCGGAGCGATTTCCTCCTCAATCCTCCTCAATCTTCTAGTTGGGCTCCAGAGGTCTTCCGTGTTCGTATGGGAAGGTGAAGTGTGGGACTAATGGGAAAAAAGGGTATTGCTGAATAATCAGCTAGAAGGCTTACTGATTTGGTAAAGCCCATCACCATATTAGGGCTAGCATCCTGATCTGATCTAGCTGGCCTGGAGGGTGCCGGCACAATATTGGTGTTTGAGGAGTTATAAGTTCAATTACTTGTAGTTTTTATGATTGCATGTTCGGTTCGCCTTTTTGACTCTGGAATTTCCTATTTGGTGATGTCTTGGCACAATATATCCTCCGTTTATAGTGTGGTTCCTTCTCCTCTTAGACGAAAGCAACAACCACTAACCACTAGCACCAGAATAATAGATACTACTTTCAAGTTCTACCTAGACTAGCTACTTACATATGGTTAAAGATGGTGGAACAAGTAATTGATACGATGAGGCAGGTAGTTCGAAGCGAAGCATCAATAGTGTTATTGTTAGGAGATATCAGGAATCAGGATTAAGAGTGTTTAAATACTCCAGCAGCCGTGTTGAAGTTGAATACCCTCAATTGAGTAGTAGTTGCTGGACCAATATATATACATATTAGAGGTGCCAAGGAAGGGACTTGGATGTGATTATGTATAGTATAATAAGTTTGAATGAAGTATATATAATAATCTTTAATTTTACTTAACAGTAGTTTCCAGCTTATACAATTACCTTACTACTAGTAGTATTTTCTCTATTAACAGACTATCTAATTTGCCTATACATAAACATGAAACAGTACCTCATATGATACTAGAGTATATTACATGGCCTCTAGTAGTAGCTTGAGTGCCTGCAAGAGTTTCTACCAATTCAGAAGTGTTGGCTATTGGCTTGTTATAAAATTCCTAAGCTGCTAGAAGCTTTCAGATTTCTATTTTCCATATCTTATCAGGTGCTGTAATAGCACCATATTTGAATCAAACCCAAACCCACTTGTCCCTTTCAAGTGTGTTTAAATTTCCTACTTCCTTTTTAGTATCTCCAACTTCTCTTAACATTTTTCTTCTGTGATTGAAATATAAATGCTTTTAACCTTTTAAACTCTCTCTGGAACCTTACTGTAGATATCTTCCTTAAAACTATTATCAGACCTTTTACTAGAGTGCATAGCTTAGGCTTGTGTGAGTTCTAAAAGCAGAGTTGTAGTTATCTCTGAAGACTTTATAGTAAAATGTATATATAGTTTCTGTAGTTTTAACTGCCTTTTAGACAATAATGAAATAGGCTTATTGTTCTCAAGTATCTTATTTATAACCATAGTACTATTGATAGTAGGTAGAATATGACTATTATTTATTTACTAGTTAGTCCAAATTGGTACAATATTTAAGAAATAGAATAGTAAAATTTACCTGAATTGAGGAAAAGTATAACATGTTTGCACTGGGGTACTAGTTACACTTCTGGGTATAATAGAAGTAGTGCACAAGTGGATCTACAACTTGTAGGCATACTATACTAAAAGAGACTCCAAGTGAAATATGTAGAATAGGGACTTGAAGAGGTAACCATTCAACCAAGTATATTAGAATACTATCTGTCGAAGTCTGCTATTCTATTGGGGGAATTAGTAGTTTTTAAATACATATTTCTGTCCATATCCTGCCTGGACAATTTCCCTTGTGTTCCTCAATCAAGAAAATATTTTAAATCACTAGAGTATCAAAGAATACTTGAAACTACAAGTAAGACAAACTAAGTATCAAAGGATATGTGAAACCATAAGTAAAATATGTTGAATTTTTCAATTTGTTTTATATATATATTCTTCTTGATAATATCGTATATTCATCTACTTAGTATTATTTCTAAACTACAAACATTACTACAGCTAGAGTATGTATTACGTATATTTCATTAATATTTCATGATACGATTAGGAAATTAGCATGTGTTTTCTTATCTGGTGTTCAGGTTTATTTCTTACATTCAATAGATACTTGAAACCATAAGTAAAACAACACATAAAACAAATCTCTAAACCAGACTCCAGTTCCGGTTTCAATGAGGGACAGAACTCAAAGACTGTAAGCTGGACCTAATCCAGATATCAGGAATCTAGGGATTAGGATCCAGACATGCCAGAATCTGTTAGGGGACAGGGAACTCTAAAGACAAGTGAGTATATACTAGGCCCAGTAATTCTTTATTTCTGAAATAATAAAGAAAGCCTGCAAAGATAGAAGTAAAGTAGAATGAATATATTGATAAGATCTCTTCTCTGGTTGCTAATAATATCTTAAAGCTGGAGAAATTTGTGTTTTGTTTATCTCATTGATTATTTGTTTGGGGTATAAAAAATGTATGGAGTACTAGCTATGATGACAAAAAACCCATATCTCTCCTCTTGCCACTGGAAAAAGTCAACCTCTCAAGCTCCTCTTGTATGGAGTCAACTGCACATCTCACCTTAAAGAAAAGAAACCCAAGTACAGCTAGAAGATAAACTAAGAAATTCTAACTTAGAAGAAAGTATGTGTTAAGAATCCTACTGGTGGTGGGGATCTGACAGGTAACGATTCTTACTTAGGTAAGGTAATAGTTCTTAGGCTGTTGTCAACGCAACGTAGATAGTCAAGTCCTTTGACTTCTATCTTGTTGCGCCTATTTCCTTAGTCTTCTTCAGTCCTTGCTTAGGACTTACTCTTCATCTTCATAGGAGGAAAGAAAATTCTTGGGTTTCTTAAAATAAATCTTAAAGAGTATAAAGGTAGGTTTTATTGATAAAATATAAAGGTAGAAAATAAACAAGAAGAACATGTAAAGAGCTTATACTTGGAGTTCTAGCGACCCTTTATATAGTCGCTCTTCACCTGGTGTAACTCATACCTTTGCATCATATGAACCCTGTGACTCATAACTATGAGTTATGTAAAATCCATGAGCTGACTCCTATAAGTCGCTATGCAACATACTTAAAACCAATCAAAATACAATAACTAAGTCAAGTGCACAACTTGCATCACCTGAGTAAAACCTATGACTCATAACTTGAGTCATGTGTGAAAATTATAACATTGTATGACTCACAATTGTGAGTAACGAACAAGTAAACATAATAACCTATTGTGCACTAGTGTGCGTCATGTGAATTCCTAACATACCTATAGTTCGTAATTTTGAACTATGTGAAATCTGCCTTGCTTAGTCACAGTTTGTGACATTAGCTCCCCTCTCCCTCAGCCTGAGTCCCATCGGGCTTACATCAGTCTTTCCTCCAATTCCCATGCTCTTTCCATTGTTAGTTCCCACTTGACTTCCTTGTTCAACCAAGCGCTGACTTTCCTTACTCTTGTCAGGGCCCTTTCTGCCTGCTTCTCTTCTCTTCTCCAGTTGTTCTGAAGAGCCTTCCTGATCCTGTTCTCCTCTCTCAGCTCGCTCTGGAGCTATCATATTTTTTCTACTTGCTACTCGATCACTTTTTTGGTTTCTGCCAGCTCGGCCAACAACTTCATTATTATGATCTCTGGTTTCTAATTCTCTATCTCTTCTTCCCCGGAGATGTGCCTCATTCTCCTGAGTTTTGCCCATTTCTGTTTTTTTGTCCCCCTCCTTCTTGACTCTGTCCTCGGGGTCAGTAGCATGTACTGTACTAGAGCCACTAGCTCTGTGTAACAGGCAGGGTCTGAGGGTTGGGTAGCTCAAGGCACACCATGATCAGGACACATCAGCAAAAATTCATTCTCCGTCAGATCCGCGCGTCTCACATCCCGACGCAGCGCGCTCGTCCCCTGCGTCCCCTGCGTCCCCTGCGTCCCGTGGGTCCACTACTCCGGCGCAACGCCCCCCTGCGTCATCTGCGTCCCCCTTTTACCCTGTTGATTCCCTCCGTCTCCAAGCAGGCGCCGTCCGCCCATACGTCCGGACCGCGTCCTGTTTCTGATCCAATCTTGTCGTCGTCCTGACGCCGCGACCCGAGGTCAACTGCGAGATCAAGCTTTCTCCGCATCCTGATGCTCTGTTCTCGCTCCTTTCCTGATTGCTAGTTTCCAGCCGCCGTTACTGCAATCCGTTAACTACCAATTTGATTCCCGGGCCCGGCATTCTTCATCTCTGACGGCCATCTCTCGGTTCTCGTTTCCT